TTCACTTCCTTCATTTCAGCCTGAGTATTCTTCCATATTTCTCTTTTCTGAATTCATTCAGAAGTTTAGCCCTATCTTCCTTCAGTTCTTTGATTTCTTTTGGTGTTCTTTAAATTCACTGAATTCTTTTATCATATTTATAATTGTTCTTTTGAGTTCCATGTCCTGCATTATCTCTAGGGGGTTCTCATTGTCCTCCTCTAGAGGACTATTGGTATTTTGTGGGGATATGTTATTTTGGTTTTTCATGTTATTATTTTTTTCTCTGTGATTTTGACATGTGAATTTCTTTTGTAGTTTCTGATGCTTATGTGAGACTCAAGCCTTCAAATTTAGGTCTGCTTCTTTTTGTAAACTTTATGTGCCTTTGTGGTTTGCTTTTTGGGCATGAAAAGCTGGTTTGTCTAAGCTTCCGGTTCTCTCTTTTGATTTTATATTGGAGTGGGCAGATTGCTTTTGTCTTCAGGAGTTTCCACAGAGGCCCAATCATATGAGGATCAGATGCTCTCACACTTTTTCCTATGGTCTGGATCCCTCCGGAAAAGATTTTGGCCTCAGAAATTTGGGGGTTGTACTGGCCTAGGAGCAGGACCCAGGAAAGATGCTGGTCTCAGGCAGCTAAGGGCCATACCACCCAGAGATGATGGACTGGGGAAGAGTCCCCAAGGGCTCCTGGGGACTACAATGAGGAACTGGGTTGGTCTGGGTACAAAGGATCAGGGACCTGAAAGGTCAGCACTTTCAGGTCAGTCCAGGAAAGAGACTGGCAAGTTGTGCAGCACAGGGAAGCAGAGGGAGGTGGAGGCGGGACCAGGCTCAGAGGGCTCTTGGGGACCATGAGAAGGAATTGGATTGGTCTGGATGAAAAGGATCAGGAAGCAGTGGTGGTTCCCCAGGTGTCTGGGGGGCCAAGACAAGGAATGGGACAGCACCCAGGCTAGGAGGAAAGACGATCGGAAGAGTTAGGAGGGTGAATGAGGCTGGGGGAGTCAAGGCGCAAAGGGCCGATCGACTTACTCAGGAGAGAGGCTGGTGGGTCCTGTAGGCCCAGGGAAGCTGAGGGAGGTGAGGGTGGGACCAGGCCTGTAGGGCTCCTGGGGACCTTGAGAAGGAACTGGGTCCCCCATCTGGGTGCAAGGGATCAGGAAGCAGTGGTGGCCCTGGGGTGAGAGGTCAGCCCCAGCATCCAGGAAAGAGGCTGGCAGGCTGTGCAGCCTAGGGAAGCAGAGCATCTTTTCACTTTTAAAGACACTATGTAATCTTAGTTCTCTAAGGATTTCCTTTCTAACCTTGCAGTTCATTTTAATGCTATATTCACTTACCTCTGTGACTTTGACTTTGGTAAATATTGTGACCTGTAGACTTTCTATATAACATTTCAGTGTGCATAGCATAGGTATTCCAGCTTGCTCACTTCCTTGAGTCATTTAAGCCCATTTTCTACCATCTGCCATGGCAGCTCCAGCATTTTGATTGTATATATTGTAAGACATCAGCTTTTCCACACTTTTAGGAGGTTCTAAGTACAATGCTTATAACTACTATAGAGTGTTAGCATAGTACTTTTATCTACTCATTTTGCTTAACTTTCTCTTGCAGTGTTTATGAACCTTTACAGTATTCCTTTCAGATAGTTGCTCTATATATTGCCCTATTTATTATCTCAATGTTAAAGACACCATTATTATTTTTCCTTTAAGTTCTCTTCTAAAATACACATTAAATAATTTTTTCTTGGTGTGGGTGGGTGAACTCTTTTGACTGGGAGGAATTACTCAGAAATCATGAGTGGATTTAACATCTTCACAGTTTTCACAGATGCATTTTAAGGGGTGGGAAATAGAGTTTTTCACCCTCCTAAATTTATAGTTGGGACGCTCTACTGAAACAAAAGGAATTAGTAAAAGTAAAAGCTATTATAAAACATTGAGATTGATCCCCAGATTCCTCTGGTCCTGCTGGGGCTGGATCTGAGTTGATAAGCAGGTGACAATTTACATCTGTTTTAGGCAGGAAAAGAGGAAAGGTTTGAAAGCTGCTTTACCTTGTGAATCACTATCTTGTCATCAGGCAAACAGGAAAAGCAGAGAGCCCTATCTATATTATCGGTGATGTTGATTTGACTCTCCTAAAAATTTCAGGGAAGATCCTTTACACATCTTGGCATTGAATATAAAATTGACCCTGTACCAAAAATAAGATGTGGCTCAGTACTGAATTCAGCCTTCATGCAAAAATAGCCCCCAAACAATGTAAATGATTGGTCAGTAAAATGAAGGAAAACACAAGGGCTTGAGTTGTCAGCTTTCCATCAGTTTCACAAACACCTGAAATAATCAGCTTACAGAGAAAAAGTTTAGTTTGGTTCACAGATTTGGCTCTTTCAGCCCCATTGTTTTGGACTTGTAAAGGTGGCAGGCACTGCATGGTATGCGTGTAGCTTGTAGCAAAACCATTTGTCTAAGCACAAGTCAAAGAACAAAGAAACAGAGGAAAGGGATGAGACCCACAGTCTCCTTCAAGAGCAAGTCCTCAATGACCAATGACCAATGACCAAGAACCTCCCCCTTTGTAAAGGTTCCACTACCTTCCAATAGTGTTATCTGGGAACTAAACTTTTAACTTATAGGCCACTTGAGGAAATTCATCATCCAAATTATATCAGCTTGTAATTTGAGCCTTTGGAGTCCCTGAACTGGTGGCTTCTGGGAGGCCAGTGCAGGCATGTCTTTGGTCAAGTGATCTGACAGGCTGGGAAGATGAAAGGTCAGAATGCATAATCCAAGCAGCATGAATTCTGGGAAGTGCTGTTTGACACATTCTACAAACTCACCTTCTCTTGCTTCTTTGCCTCATCATCAAGGTTGTAGTTTTCCTCCTAATATTGCCCATGGACATTATACTCAACACAGTACTTTATTCAAATACTACGCTAGCTATCAATGTGATGAAGGATATAAACTGGTTGGACAGGCAGAACTCTCCTGCATTTACTCACAGTGGTCAGAAGCAGCTCCACAGTGTAAAGGTAACTTTACTTCCTTCTTCCTCTAATGACCAAGTGAGCAGAATTGTAAGGAATGGAGACCAAAGCTATTCCCTGCCAGACATAGCACAAAGATATTTTATTTAGTTTTGTTTATTTTGAATCACTAATACAAACAGATGATAGGCCCCACAAAAATACAGAAAACATACACAAACGTTAGTTTCCTCCATGTCTTTCTCCTAGTCACAAATATGAGCTTTCTTAAGGTAGCTTGTACTCTTAGTTTCTTACACATATTTCCAGAAATATTCTAGAGGCAAAACATTTTCACTCTACCTATAAAGCATGTACAAAGTCCTTAAGAACATTTGTTCTAGCATCGATGTATTCTATGTTCATCTGACTTCAAAAATCAGAGTGACAGGTTTTTTTTTCCATCAGAGCTTCCTCCAAGGCTCTACCTGTGATATAGATGATGTCTATTGCAGGGATCCAGTGCCAATCAATTATGGGGAGCAGGAAGAGTCAAGATTGGGTTAATTTTACATGTAGTTAACAATAATAGAAAAATATTCAAATTTGACATAATTGTCCTCATTGCACACAGAAAATTATCAGGCAAACAAAGAACGTCATGAATAGTGTTGTAGAACTATCTACAGTAAAATTTACTGTGCCAACACAGAATCTGGGATCACATAGTCTTTTACAAATCTCTTGTCATGTTATTTAAGCATGTTATAACTATGAATAAATTTCTTACCTTCTTTGCACCTGAAGTTTCTTCATAAAATGAGAAAATAGTAAACTCATTTATAAGACTATTGTGAGACATGAGTAAAATAGTCAGATTGTATACATAGACTATCATGCTCAATAAAATGTTAATCAATGTTATAGCTAACAAAGTGAAAGGAAAATAGAATAAGCCATACATAAGATTAGTTCATTTTATACTAAATTGTCATACCTTTTTCCTCAGATAAAGATGTTCTAAAATCATGTTTTCATTACAGCTCTCTGTCTAAAACCAGAAGTAGAAAATGGAAAGCTGTCTGTGGATAAGGATCAGTATATTGAACATGAAAATGTCACCATCCACTGTGATGCCGGCTTTACTATGCTGGGTTCCCAAAATATCACTTGCTCAGCGAATAGAACCTGGTACCCAGAGGTGCCCAAGTGTGAGTGGGTAAGTGGTACAACTCAAGATATTACTGTTGTCAAACCCTAAAATGGTGGTCTGTCACAGCTGTTTCCTAGCCAGTACTGGTGACATCTGACTTGTCATAATTCATTTTATTTCTGAGTCACTCAAAGATACTTTTTTCCTTGAAGCACTTTGGTGAGTTGGTGTGGCATATTTTCTTGTTTTCATTTGAGAACAGGAAAAACTGTGCCTCTTACAGACTGAGGCCTACAGACTGGGGAGTACTGCCTCTCATTTTTCTAAACCATATAATGTACTGCTGCTCTATTTCTCGATGATCAACCGAAGCCACTCAATGACACCCCAAACCTATATCTCTTTCAGGAGGGCTCTGAAGGCTGTAAGCAAGTGCTCAAGGGCAGGGAACTCATGCATTGCCTATCAAGCCCAGAGGATGTGAAAATGGCTCTGGAGGTGTATAAACTGTCCTTGGAGATTGAACTCCTAGAACTGCAGAGAGACAAATTGAGAAAGTCTCTCCTCAAGCCACCACTGTAATTTTTCTCAAGAAGGAGGAAGAGCTTCTTCACTTGTTTTCTGAGTTCAGTGCTGATTTGAGTTTAACATTCTTATGTCAATTTGGCGTAATTCATGATAATAAGTATCTAGATATGATAATTCATTAAAATATAATGTTAGATTACAAAATCATTAATCGTCTGTGGCTCACAGTTTTTTCTGAATGCAACATGCACATTCTTTTCCAATTAAAATCAATTTTGTTCTTGTGTTCATTTAGTACTCTATAAAGTTAATGAGTTTATTTAAATGTGTGGAGTACAAAAACTCACTTTAGTTCACACCACTGTGTCCCTGGATGGTCTCTACCTCACAGTACCACATGTGCACATCACTGAGATTCTCAGAGTTCACAGCAAATGTCAACACACCCCTCAGTCCTGTCCCTGCTACCTGGTGAGAGGCTCCCTCCCAGCTTCTGCTCAACCCTTATGGGTGGTGCCTCTTTTACTCATGTTGCTTATTAGGAGTTACTTCCACAACCTCACTCCAGCCCCAGAGAAGGAATTTCCCAGGACTGATGAATGTGAAGGCCGCCTCAGCCATCTGCACATTCTCACATCTTCTATCTGATTTGATCACCATTTTCCTAAATATTAAACTAACATGGCTTGAGCAACTCAACTCCTCAGGAGAAGCCCTGTAACAATACTGTCTATATCTGAGTTTTCTGGGAGGATGTGGGGGGTATTTTTCCAGATACCGTTTCTTCCAACTCTTACTTCCTTTGCCTTTGTTTTTCCCTTGAAACAAGCACATATGGGTAACTAGATTCTTTGCAAGGCGGTTTTAGAAAGCACAGAGAGGGAATGGTGGAAAGACGGAAAGCAAAAGAGCTAGAGGGGAACTGTTATGGAGGGTCTAGTTGCTGTTACTGCCAGAGTCCCGGTTATGGTGACGGCCCTTTGAGGGAACATGGAACCTGACTCTGAGCTGGCCTCCTCTGGATGAGGGCCTGGAGTGTTCATCCACCCTTGCTACTGAGGACCTGCTTCCAGCTGCACTGACCCCCAGTGGCAGCAGAGCAGGCTTCAAGGAAGGGAATCACTGTTGAGCAGATAGATGGACCTTGTAGCCCATGGTGCCCTTGGAGCTGTTTGCAGTGATCTTCAAAATAGGCCAAGGATATAGAGGCATGGTATGGTCACGTCTGCTGACCTGCTTTTCTTTACTCCTTTGCCTGTGCAGCTCTCATTTCTCCTGTCAGGTCTCTGGCTGTGCCTTCTGTTGCCTGTGACACAGTACTGTTCCTATTTGTAGAGTGAATTGTGCGAGCTGACCTATATTGATATCACTTGTTACTACATTCTCACAAATCAAATATTTTCCAGAGTTGTCTGCAAAAGTATTTAATTAAAATTTATGTGAAATTCAGCAACATACTAGACAAATTTGACTTCCGCTTAGATCAGCGTGTGAGGATGTATCATTAGTCCCCGGTGCCTCAGACTTTCTCTCTGAGTAGCATCATCTTTTCTGATCTTACTGTTCAGATGGCTTATGTAGGGTAACTTCCATCTTCTCACTACTTACAAACTGATCTCAGAGAATGGACATTGATACTAGGAATATGGCTTGGAAAAATCCTATAGGTAGAATCGACAAGACAAAGGAGATTTATTCAACCAGTTGCTCATTCTTCAATGATGTGAGTGGGAGGCAGGAAAGGAGCTTGATATTTTATACTAAAATTTTAAATGAAGTTAAAAAATTATTACTATTGGCTTATCAGGAGGTGCGCAGATATATCACATTAAATAATGGTTATGACACAGGCTTCTGTTAGTGCACAATCTTAAACAAAGGAGATGCCCATGTGCTTATGTCTGTGGCTTCCTCCAGTGCTTCTCTTTGCCCACTTTCAGGGTCTGCAGGGACAAGAGAGCATGCTATCCAGTGCTTTGAATTAATAATTATCCTGTACTTCCTCTTTCACTTACCTGCTTTTGCAGATTCTTTCTCCACCTTTTGTCATCAGTATTTGAGACTAAATCTCTCTTTTCTTGGCACCAAATGGCAGGTCCTCAGTATTTTATTACTTTTATGCAGCGGCCCATGTTTTATCCAAAATATAAAATTACAATTTGTTTGGGTACTATATAGTATTATTTCATACTACATTTATTTTTATTAATAAGTTCCTTGTGTATTAGGAAATTAGTTGATATATTAAATATGCTATATATCATTGATCATTATTTGTAGCTATGGTTAGGAATGCTTTATTACTAGAGACTCTGGTTTGGCTACTGGGATTAACAGGAAAAAATATTTTCTTCATTTCCAACATTCATAATTTTATAAGTGAAATTAGAATTGCCAGTCTCTGAAAAATCACTTCCCACAGTAGCTTGCTGAAGATTTGAATGGATACCTAAATATGCTTACATCTTCCTATTATCAATGTGCTCAAAGAATTAGGGATTCCAAGCCAGAGTCTTCAAGAGATAGAAGAAATAGTTAAGGCCTTTAATCACTACTTCTTTCTGCTTCTTTGCTTTATGGAGAAATGTCTTCAATATAGACTTGCATTCACATAAGTGTGAATTATTCTTCCATTTTAAAGTGTAATCTTTTAGTTAAATTCCCTTTAAAATTATCTAAAATAAGTACAACAGATATTATGACAAAGATATTAATAAAAGTGAGCAGAAGTAACTAATCTCCTTTTCCTCTTCTTCATTTTAAATTTAAAGCTTCTGTTTATATTTTAACTTTTGTATATAAGTCTATAAATGATCAACCAGGTTACAAATGTATCTATTTCTTGACTTAACAGGTAAGTATTTAAAAAATAACAAATTATATCATAAAGAAATTATGTCTATATGGATCCATGAAATTCCATTTTCCTACTTCCAGTTTCATCTCTCATGAGAGATTTTCCTTGATATTTATATACATATTTTCAGAAAATAATTTTTTCTATTTTTCCTGAAAATACTCATTTTAGGTGCTGTCACTTTATTGTAAACAAAGAGGTAATCATTTGTGAATATATTACCCAAATTTTCTTTTCCTTCCTATACAGTGATTATACAACTTTAGTTAAGTCAACAATGTTATGACTATACACCGAACTGAAAGTGTTCTTTGAGCATATTTTGTTTTGAGACAGAGTCTTCCTGTAGCCCCAGCTGGCCTGGAACTCCCTATATAGACCAAGGTGGCCTAAATCTCACAGAGATTCTCTGTCTCAGCCTCCTGAGTGCTGGGATTACTGGCATCTGCCACTACTCCCAGCACTAAACATATTTCTTTTGTTTTATTCTGGTGTCCAGAGTGTCTGTTACAGTATTTTTTGGTCCTTGCTTTGCCTTTTATATTTCCATGTCTCCCTATATGTTCCAGAAGATGTCTCATGTACCACTGTGTAGCTAGCTGTTAAACATGAGATACCTCATTTGCTCCCTTCTTGCTGCAGAGAGCTTTCCTCCCAAGCCCTCTGTTCTCATTTGTTCTTAGTTTAGGGTCCGAGGCAGGTAGCAGACCTTAAAATGAGAATCAAAGTGGGAATTGTTTGGGAGATGCAGAAAACACCAGGAAAAGAGAGGGCAGGAGAGAAAGGAAAGATAGGAAAGAAGAGGCAACCCAGATAAAGATGCTGTCCAGCCAGTTGGGACACTAGTGGCTAATCACAAGGAAAGAAGATCAGGATGTTGAACTCAAGCCAGGTGCACATGCCTTTAATCCCAGCACTCAGGAGACAGGGGTCCCTGAAGGTAGATCTCTGTGAGACTGAGGGCAACCTGGTCTACAAAACAAGTTCCAGGCCAGCTGGGGCTACAGGGAGACTCAAAAGACAAAAACAAAACAAAACAAAAATCCAAAAAATAAACCAATAAAAAAAACCCAGACACCAAGGGGAAAAGTGTAAGTTTATATAATATTTCAAAGCAGAGGGAAAATACTCAAGAAACTTCAAAGGGGTGTCCTTCCCAAGGACAGATGAAGTTGAGGAAGGGTAGATGCCAGATAATTTGGCTAGTTGATTGTACCAGAGTTGGTTTATAGCCACTAGAGAAACAGAAATCAACCCTTCAGAATGCAGGCAGATGTAGAGAACTTGTAGCTAGTGATGACACACATGTACCTATAGACATGGACAAGGCCACTGGAGCCAGCAGTGCCTGTGAGGTGTTCATGTTTTTATTTGATATTTTTACTTCTTTAACTACTTGTAAAGAAGTCTTTTATATTTTAGACATTAAAAGTTAGTTATTATATATATTTTAATCATTTTATTATATTTTTGTTGCTCTATTCCTTAAAATCATATTCAAATTAAAATTTTGTGTCTCCCCCTCTTTAAAAATTATGTGTGTGTGTGTGTGTGTGTGTGTGTGTGTGTGTGTGTGTGTGTGTGACTATGGGTGCACACATGCAAGAGCATGCATGTGAAAGTCAGAGGACAACTTGTGGAATTCTCTCCTTCTATCATGTGGCTTCCAGGTTTTGAACTGATGTCATCAAGTAGGGAAGCAAGCATCTTTATAACCTGAGATGTCTCTGCAGCCCTTTTCTTCCCTTTCAATTATTCTTTGACATAGTGCTTAACAGATTCTATGTAAAGAATATGTGACTATGGAAATTCAGAGTACACCCAAAGACTTATTTAAAAATAAGTAATCAATCAGCAGAAGAAAGTTATTCCTCAAGGATTGGGCAGAGTTAGATCTGTGAAGGAGGAAGCACGAGGAGATGGGGAAGGGGATTGTTTTCATGATAGGTGATGTGGCATGTGTTGCATTGTGTTTGATTTCTTTAGGTTGTGAGAATTATGTTATTATAGCTATAGTTCATTCATTTGTATTGCTATGTATTATTCTACCATTTCATCATGTGGCCATACTGACTCTCTTTTTCATTAAAGATAGAATTCAGATTGCCTCAGCTCCTTGGTTATTACAAAACCATGAATATTCATGCATGTCTTCATGAACATGCTGACTGTAAAGTGTGCAGATTCAATTTCCATAAATTTTTAAACCCAGGTTTATATGTTGGCTATGCTACTTAAAAACCTTAAAAACTGTATGATTATTAACAATTAAAAATTATTTGTTCCTCAATTTTCTGAGAAAATGGAAGAATGATAGCACATTAGCACATGGAGACAGGCTGGTTAGCAA